CCTTCCTGCCCCTGGGCAGGGGGTCCCAGGGGACAGGGTGCCGCGAGGTCCCTCCGCATCCTGGGAGGGTCCCCCTGGGGCCTGTCACTCCTGGGAAGCCGTGGCACAGATGCCCGTGGTGGTTTGTCCTTCCGATGGCTGCGGTGGCTTTGCAGCCCCCACCGCCTCGGTGGGGCCGTCGGCATGACCTGGTTTGTTGCGGTGCTGCTGCAGGAGGGTGCCTCAGTTTGGGGGACTGAACCCCAGCCCTGTGTTGCCTCCAGCATAAATCCCTGTGTTTGTGGGGATTTGCTGTTCTTCCTCCTTCCCCCAGAAGGGTTTAAAACAATAATAATGTTTTCTAGCCTTTGCCAAGCAGAGAAATGCAGGAATGTGGATGAAATTCCTTTAGGGAAGAAGCTTTTTGAGCTTTGTTCCACGCAGACCTGGCTGGGCTGCTGCGCGGGCCGCTCCAGGTGTCCCCCCGCCGCTGGCGTTCTCCCCGGACCCCAGGAATTCGGCTGGCTCGCTGCCCGAAGCTGCAGGCTTGGAGAGGAGCCTCCCTCGCCCTCCTACCCAGGGCACGGCCGGGGAGGCGGCGGAGGGAGTGCCGGGGCTTGACAGACGGCGCAGCCTTGCTCCCGGAGAGCGGGATTGGCGTGAAAAGGGATCGGAAAAACTTTTCTCGTGGAGAAATGTGACTCGTTTGCATCTGCAGCCTATGGAGACTCCTGCTTGCCCTAAAATGGGAGAGTGGGCACAGAGGGAAAGTGACTAACCCTGGAGTTAGTGTCTGAGTGTTTCGCCCCTGGCGTTTATTTTGCTTTTATTAGTGCTGCCTGGAGAATGGGCGATGTCAGAGGAGCTGGATCTGAATTCTTCAGGCCTAATTCAAACCAGCATCGTGCGCAGACTTCAGAGCGAGCAAGCCGATCTATGGCCTTTCGGGTGCGCCGGGAGAGATGTGTTGTTTTGGCATGGGAGGATGTGAAATAACTTCCCGTCCTCTTTGCGGTTTGGGTAGCGAGCCCTGTGCCGGGAGCCGGGGTAGGAGCCGTGTCTCGAGGAAAGCTGCGCTCCTGTTAGCAGAAGTTTACGAAGCTGTGCAAAGCAGGGGGGCCCTGCGACAATCCCGCAAAGGTTTCGGGAGGCTGAGCCTGTGGTCTCGTCTCAAAGGTCTCGGCGTCAGGGGCTGTTAATCCCAGGGGTGCAACGTCCAACGTGGCTGAAAAAAAACTGTGTCTGCCCCCAGTGCTGCCTGTCGCGGCTGCCGGTCACCCCGGCAGCACTGTTACTGCAGCCCGAGGAGGGGATCTGGGCTGCGAGGCAGGAGATCCCCAGGATTTTTGCTGTCCGTCTCCCTCCCTTCCTGTAGCTTCGCTTGCATAAGGAAAATTAACTTCCCCTTGTGCTGTTCCGGATCGCAAGAGCTTTTAAAGCTCTTTATCTTTGCCCGTGGCCCCCAGTGATGGAAGTGAGCGCAGAAAATGTGATGGAGAGCGCTCACCCTGCATCCTGAGCATCTCCGTTCGCTCGAACCCCTGAGCTGGAAGGTGTCTCGAGGGTGGGTGGCAGGTCTGCAGTGTGGAAGGGGCTGCACTTTTTTTTGGAGGGGGGTCCCAAGTGCTGGAATGTGTCGAGCCGGGTGGGAGAGGATTGGGGGGAGCCCTGGGGATCTGGCTCTGCGTGCCGTGTAAGCTTCTGACCAACTTCTGACGTCGGGTTCGGCCCCCTTGCAAACAACTTTGTTTAGAAGGAAATTCTAGTCCCGTATTAAAAAATAGCAAAACAAACACAAGCTCCCCCTCTCCGGGACTGCACTGTGGAGCACACCCAGGCCTGTGCAGCGGAGATAACTGTTGGCCCCCGAGCGAGGGATGTATAAGTTGAGTCTCCGCCATACGCTGGTTTTTAGGACCCCATCTGCAGTCCTCGCTCCTGGGCATAAAACTGCTGCCAGTTGGAATGGGACCTGGCTTGAAAAAAGGCCTTGATTGTCAGCGTGTTGACCTTGCTCTTG